AGGGAGGGAGGGAGGGAGGGAGGGAGGGAGGGAGGGAGGGAAGGAAGGAAGGAAGGAAGGAAGGAAGGAAGGAAGGAAGGAAGGAAGGAAGGGGAAAGGAAATAGAGAGAGGGCTGGAGGGAGGAAGGAAGAAAGAGGGAAGGGGATCTGACCATCATCCATCTAACCTGAGCCTCTTATTTTACTCTGATGTTAGGTTACATACATTTACATGAAATATTGGTGTGGGAGGTCCTTCTGTCTATGTGTTGCTTTTATTGGTTAATGAATGAAGAACTGGCGTGGCCTATAGCATGGGAGAAGGAAGGCAGGGTCAGAGAGAAGCCGTGGAGCTGCAGGAGATAGATGCCAGGAACTTTAGCCGGTAAGCCACAGCCATGTGGCAATACACAAATAAATAGAAATGGGTTAAATTAATAAGAATTAGCCAGAAGCTAGAGCTAAGGGGCCAAGCAGTGTTTTAATTAATATAGTTTTCTGTGTGGTTATTTTGGTTCTGGGCATACAGGACAAACAAGTGGCCCCTCCTCTAACAAAATATAAACCTTTAACCTCTAAGTAAACACTCTACATATGAAAAAATATGTCAAAGCAGATGTCTGAGATTTAGTTTTATGTACCATATTTCAGTAACAATTATTTCATGTTTTCTTGCAGGCTAAAATCTAGGCCTGTTTAATGGTGGAAGGTAAAATGTAGCTTTATAAGCATCTTCCACTACTAGGAGATGGTGATGCTTGCACAAGCCAGTACCTGGGAGGTAAACCGTGTGGTAGAAGCCATTCGATAGTCATTCAGAAGCTGCCCACTGTGCACCTAAAAGCAGAGCTCTGAATACAGAGACTCATTATCCCTCGAAATAAGGCTGCCCTCACCTTCAAGGTCAGGATCATAATCCCTGTGGCATCTAGCCTCAGGCAGCAACAAGGGCAAGACACACAAACTGTGCAACACGATTTAGATAGACGGCTTTGCTAATTCAGGTTGAAAACTGGATGTTTTGAATAAATGTGTTGGGCTATAAATCATTCCTTGGAGTGAAAGTTGGGGGAGACTGCCCTTCATTTTTGGCAGTTGGGGAGATTACTGTTCTAAAAGTTGGATGTTCAACAGAACTGAGCGTCCAATTGGAAAATGTTGTATAGTGAAGGAAGTCCTTTACCTTTACAGTGAGTGTCTTCCACTGAAGAAATAGACCACTAGTATCTCTGATGCAATATATTTTGGAAATAAAGCACACTTGGTTTAGGTTGCTTTTGATTGACAGGTAAAAAGGTGAATAAGGACTGCACTAATTGTGACTGGAAGAAAATCTGATGCCTCACCTCTGTCTAGCTAGTAATAAATATTTACATTATAAGAACAAGTTATTAGAATAAAACATTAGATCGCACAATTATATTTGCTTTTTGAACATAAATAAAATCTATGAGTTTTTTTAATATTATTTAATTAATAATTTGCCTTATTCTTTAGTCTAATAATTTCATTTTAAATTTTTTCTGGAAAGTTGAGAATAAATGCCACAGACGCTGTTCACAGATATATATTCTTGCATTTTATAATCTTTTGAAAATAGATAAATAGCTCCTAGTAAAAAAGGGAGTAATACACTTATGCCTCACATAGCTCAGATGTCAGAGATAAAATGGAAGCCCATATCACTCTAGCCAGACACAGATCTTTCATGTTTTATGCTTTGAACTAGACTTTTTATTTTATAATATACATTTATAAAGACATGAAGTTGGAAGAGGTAAGAGGATTTGGAAATAATGGGTGATTAACATGATCAAAATGTGTGTGTGTGTATGTATGTGTGTGTGTGTAAGAACAAATAAAATACAAAGATAAAACAGAAAAATAGAATCACATTTAAATTCAGTGCTAAGTTATGGAAGAAAATGAAATACTCAAACAATTAAGGATCACACTGCTGTAGTTGTATTTCTAAAAATGAACAATCCTCTGGAAAATCCAGAAATAAACTTCAAATTGAGATAAAAAAAAAAAAACAGTGTGTTGGGAAGCCCACATTAGTCTACATTACAACTCTGCAATAAAATATCCACAGTAGTCCACTGATACGGTTTTATGATGTTTCCTTAACTTTCCAGTGAGGAACACTCTCCTCCAAATATTGTTCACATTTTGAAGTAGACAAAGAATGCCCTTTATTGTAAAGGTAAGAAAGGCAAAACAATTCAGTGATATTTGAATTTGAAGGTTTATAGATCATCCCTCTTTTTACTGTGTTATATAATTTGACCTTAAAATAAATACATTATTATGACAATGGGTGTGTGTTATGTTGGATTTAAATTTTTTACAAGATCTTTACATGAAAATTATCTATTAAGCTACAAAGATAATTAGATTCTCTTTAAAAAGCTTTATGGTAGAAAGTTGAGAAGATAAATTTCAATAGAAAACATGGTGTGGTACACTCTAAGTCTGTTTCTTCTCCAAACGACCTAGGCTTAACTCCAATCGTCACAACTTCCTTCCTCAAAATGTCTTTAACATTCCACTGGTTGGTTTTGTGTGTCAGTTGGACACAGCTAGAGTCATCGAAGAGGAAGGAGCTTCAGTTAAGGATATGCCTCCATGAGATCCAGCTGCAAGACATTGTTTTCAATTAGTGATCAGTGGGGGAGGGCCAAGCCCACTGTGGGTGGTGCCATCCTTGAGCTTGTGGCTCTAGGTTCTGTAAGAGAGCAGACTGAGCTAGCCAGGGGAAGCAAACAATAAACAACTTTTCTCCGTGGCCTCTGCATCAGCTCCTGCCTCCAGTTTCAAGCCCTGTTTGAGGGCCTGTTCTGAATTCCTCCAATAGATCAGAAGTGTAAGCCAAATAAACTCTTTCCTTTCAACGGACTTTTTGATCATGGTGTTTCATTGCAGCAATAGAAACCCTAACTAGGACATACTTTATTATCACATCCAGCTCCCCTGGTATCAATCCAATTCTATATTCCATACACTAGAAACATTGTAATTATAATTGATGGGATGTAATTACACAGTGATTACTATAAATAAATATGGTTTATAATAAATATATATATATATATTCATAAATGGTGGTTTGTAAGTGAACTCTAAAAACAGATACTAATGGAATGAGTTGGGTTTCTTGAGTACCCTCGTACTGGGATGTCCATGTGCCTTGCAGAGGTGATAACTTCCTCGAACCTTCCCATACTTTCTTCGATGGAGCAGTTAATATTCTTCTTGCTGAAAGATTCAGAAGCAGCACCAAAAACTGCTATCTCAGTGGCCCCAGCAGCAACCTGAAAGACACAGTGTACAGCTCAATGCTAACATGTTCTAAAGTCTCGTGAATGGTAGCAGGAGACGGACTACCCTAACGGCATGTCTGTGTTCTCATGTTGCCTTAAGATTTAAAGCCAGATTCCTTCCTTTTTGCCACTTACACTGTTTTAAAATGGAATTATTTTGTAGTAACAACCAGAATATTCCACAAACTACAATATTCTTAAGATCATGAGACACATAGTACACAGTGATGATGAACCAGTTAATTCTCTCTTTCATCATGTTATCCTCAAAACATTTTAACCATAATTATGGGGGGAAAACATGTACCCCATTAAAGCCTGCATTTTTTAGGAGAAGATTATCAATAAATGTTTAAGATATACCGTATATTAGATTCTTAAGAGGGAAGCACAAAATAAACTTTCAAATTTTCATCCAAAATAAAGAATTATATTTTTATTGTCAAATTCTTGAATAGTTACACTGAGCAAGCTATATGGGGAACATGTTTGGTGCTAACAATGTCGTGGGGAATCTTGATCTCTGTTTTTATGTTAGTTTATCAGTAGAGTAATGAATTGAACATGGCAGCATTTTAGCTTTCAAAAATCTTCAAGACAATAAAGGCAATTTTAGAAAAACAGTAGCAGACTTACAGCATGGTGAAAACCCTGAAGATTAGGTACAAGGACAGGATAGCGAACTCCTGGGTACCGATGAATGCCTCTCGTCACTTCGGTGTGATCAGCCATCTTAAAAACATAATAGTTATATGTAAGTATAGAACAAACAAGGTATCAAACACATTATTAGCCTTCTGCATGAGTTACACAGAAATGTGTTACATAGAAACATAGTTACATAGAAAACATGTTCTACAAATTAATGTCTGAAATGAGGTAGTCACATGTAACTAAGACAAAGTATTTCTCACTAACATTGTGACAACAAATACACAGTGTTTTGCCGTGTATTCTCCATACTAGCATGAGTGCCTAATTCTTGAACTACCAAATGACTGCAAGAAAATTGGTTAAAGAAAATGGCAGAAATCCTGGTTTTCTGTAATCACCCCTTTAAACAGATACTGCTATGTGAATTAGGAAGGTCGTGCCTTGTTTTAGTGCATTTATGACAGTGGACTATGAACTGAGAGCTTTAACATTATGTATTAGTTTTGTGTTATTTTAAAATCAGCCATGATGCTATTTCTGGTCTCTTATTCTTTCCCAAGTTCTCTTCCCTGTTGATGAAGACATAGAATATATTTATCCATCTATTTGAAGCTGTGTATACTGTGATTGTTCTAAGTAATATTTAGAACAATTATAAGTGTTCTTAGAGTGGAGACAATATTATGTGATTTCTAAAAGTAGGTTATAAAAAGAAGACACAATTATACACCTGATATTTCAGGAGAAAGCCCCAAATCACCTATGCAATGGCCATAAAATAAGGCAGGCCTCTACAGAGAATATACATGAAGATGAATAGAGTCACCAAGCCAAAAACCAGGGTGAGTCCCTATATCTGGATTAAAGCAACTTCAGATGACTCTAGCTCCAAAGAGTTCAGTTTATGGCTGTGATCCTAGAAACTATGTAATAAAGACAACCACTTCATTATGCCATGGCCAAATTCCCAATCCACAGACTTAGTGAATACAACATGTATTTATTTCTGCCACCTAGATCTCAAATAGCTCATTATATAGTAGTAAAAGCTAGAAAACTGAAAGATAGGTATGGTTGGTAGAGAGGATGCATGTGGCAGCAGTGTAAGCACATAATTTGAGGCTATGGCCATAAAGGAAGACCATACTCAGTGGCATGTCTTTGAATTGGGTTTATATTAGTCAGAACTCTGTGTGTGTGTATGAGAGAGAGAGAGAGAGAGAGAGAGAGAGAGAGAGAGAGAGAGAGAGAGAGAGAGAGGTGTTTGCTGAGAATGTATGGCTGAAGAGAAAATATATTGAGTGTGTGGAACCTGCTGGCATATGAAAGTTTGTCTGAATATTATACATGGAAAGGTTTGAGCAAATCGGTTTTTTTCCAGTTTTCATCAATATTGCATGTGTACACAATGCACTGTAGTTACAGTTACCTTTCAGGAACCTCTTCCTTCCTTTCTCACTAAGTCCTTCTTCTCAGTGGCCCCTCCTCCTCTGCTGTCTCCTCTCCTCCCTCTCTTCCCTTCCTATTCTCATGTGTCTCCTCCTCCACTCTATTTCTTTTCTTCTTTCTTCTTCAGGCCCTGCGCAAGCAGCCAAAGCTGTTGTTTATTCCTGACTGCAATGGTGATGCTGCATCCAGAAGACAGCACTTCACTGCACTCTCCCTATCCTTTGGTTTCTACAGTTCTTCTGCAATATGGCCCCAGCCCCAGAGGGTTGGCAACAGTTTTCTTGGGGCCAAGCACTCAGCGGTCCCTTGCTCTCAGCATTTCAGCCAGTTAAGGGTTCCTACTTGGACAGGTGCCCATTGCTGAAAGAAGCTTCCAAGGCCAAGGCTAAAAAGTACACTAGTCCATAGGTATAAAAATAAATATTTAGAGGGTGACTTTCCCGCATGTGCATTTGACAAGACATTGGGAGCAAATTACCAAATAGGTCCTGTGACCAACCATCTGTTTTTAACTATGCCTTGAATTCCAGAGGCATGAATATCTCCCCACTAAGCCGACCTCATAACCAACCAGGAGGCAGTTGATCATCCCCAAAACATTCGTGTCACTATTGTACCAATTATCACAAAGTTGTGCTAGGTAGATCTGTATTGTAACATGCAAGGTCTATGGAGTGGGACTCAAGCCCCAAAACAATCAAGTCATTGTGGCAAAATACCAGTACCCTCATCTATCTAGACAGTTCAATATTGTAGCACGCACCATCTATATCTAGGTTTGATATTGATTCTTCTTCAAAAATTTGCATATCAGCTTCTTTCACTAAGAAAGTATTAGAAAGCATTGTTACACAAAAAGGCAATTAATGCACGAACACTGAAGGAAATATTTTATGAAATGATCTCTCACATTCCTCTCTGTTTTTAAAATTATTATCATACTTAATTTACAGCTACATGTCATATTTATAAAGTTTACATTTCTGTAATATAATGAGTTAATTTTTATCATTAGCCATAACTAAATAAAATCTGGTATCATAATTATTTTTATGAAAGAGGGTCCTCCAGTCTTATATCCTCAGGAAGGAAGCTCCTTACCAGTGGGTGTTATTTGTTCTTGGTATGTTCATAGCATTTCTAGGTATATCTAGTTATTAATTCTTTTAACATACTATCTTAATTTTTTCCAGACCAGACCTATACATATGGACATATATAACTGTCCTTTTTCCCTGCTCACCAGTATCTTGAAGTATTTGCTTTTGTTTAGCATCAGGACAGAACAGTATTCATATCTTATTGAAATAAAACAAATAATGCTGCAAGTTTTTGTTTAGAGTCTCCTCTGGCCAAGTCTGCCAGTGCTACTTTCTGCATGCAGGAATACAGTAAGTGGAAAAGAAGGGCAGATAGGAGAATATGCAGTTTCTTCAACACGTGCCATCGATTAGAGGAAAAACATGAATGATGTGGTTTCAGACCCTATAACTCAAAACTCAATATGAATAGTAATTCCTCTTAAAGGTAACATTTGGAAACTTGGTAATGAGAAAAAAATGAGACTCGAGTGCTTCCTGACAATCCTGGGTGAAAGCGCTGAAGGCGGCTATGAATAGTACTGTAGCCTGGGTCCTATAACCACGTCCCATTCATAGACGCCTAGCACAAACCTCATCTATCTTAGCCTCAGTAGCACAGGGGAAACCTTGGTCTGCTTGAAGAAGTAAGACACTCTTAATAAATCATAGCCTTACAATAACAAACACAGGAAATCTCTGGAAAATTGAACATCCTTTTTTTTCTACCCAATACCCTGCTTGACTGCCAAAGCTAAAACGATCTGACACCAATCTCACAAAACTCAAGTCCAGAAGCCTTAAAACTAATTTGGTCTGGTGTATAATTTCCTGTCCTTCCTTGTTCAACTTAGCTTTTGTATGCAAAGGACCTTTGTAGTGCCGTCTATTGGGTAGAATGTTGATGTGTCTCAGAAGCTTCCACGACAACCACCCCTCCTCTTTCCTCGTGAAAACGAAGAGATTCTAATCATAATCCGCTGACATCTACAAATATTCATTTTTATATTATAAGACAAACACCACCTACATGGATTTGTGGGTTAAATCTGTAACATTAATGTCTTAGAGGGAAGAAATGAAAGTCATTTTTTATTCAATAACATTTCCCAGTTCAGGAAGATAAACATAGCAATTATACATTAGTTATTCTTTATTAGGGTCAATGCCTTTGGACCACCTGCCTGCTCTTCCCATATTAAAAATAACATGTTTCCAACATCATTCTGAAGTAAGGGCAAGAAGTTCCAAACTTCCCAATATAATTTTCTTCCTGTGCCTGTGCAATTGTGTTGCCTGTCACTATTATGTACTATGTACTATGCCTTTTTATATGTTAATAACATTGCAGCCATTGTTATTTCCCTTGCATGGAAGCATGAAGTATTTTTAATGTAGGGGGTAAATTGCTATCAGTGTGTTTTGTTAGTAGAGATTTGCATTCTTAACACTTCAAACCTACAACACTGTGGAGAGCTGCAGCAGAGAGGATAAGCTTGGGTTACTGACTCACTGCTGATCAGACATTATCAAGAGAAAAGGTTAAGACAAAAGTAAGGTCTCATAAGCACGGAAAATATTGCTGTCACTTGTAAGATCGAGGCTTGGCTATATGCATCTAGAGGTTTCTGCTTTAGTAACAGTGAAAGCGGATCATCTGAAGGTGCCAGCTTGCTGAATGGCAACCTGCTCAGCATATGCTGGTTAGGCAGTTCTACCAGATTATAACTCATTCATACTCACCTGCCTTTAAAATCCCTTTGTGTGTTTTCATTTTCCCAGCAACTGTATCCCCCATCCACTTTAACATTATAATTACAGTGTTATCCCTACACTGTTATTCACTTTTGAGTCTAACAAAGAGCTCTGTATAGTTTTTAATACAGAAAAAAGTGAAAGCACTAAATGGGAGAATGAATAAGTGGAAAGGATCCAACACATAGAGAAATGAAAATGCCTTACCAAAGCATACCAGATATGAGTAAAAATCAGGTCTCAGATTTTCTATTCATCAGAAAGCACAAGTTAAACAACAGACATAATGGTATCGCCAAAGTGCAGGAAGCCTGGAGGATATGGGGAAGGTGTGTGTGTGTGTTTAGACTCCTGAATTGCACCATTTCTTCTTTGTTATTGTTTTTATTGAGCTCCCAATTTGTTTTTCTCTGCTCCCCACCTTTCCTCCCCACTCCCCTTTTACCCTCTCCCATGCTCCCAATTTACTCTGGAGATCTTGTCTTTTTCTATTTCCCATGTAGATTAGATCCAAGAATTTCTCTCTTAGGTCCTCTTTGTTGTCTAGGTTCTCTGGGATTGTGAACTGTAGACTGGTTTTTCTTTGCTTTATATCTAAAAGTCACTTATGAATGAGTACATATGATATTTGTCTTTCTGGGTCTGAGTTACCTCACTCAATATGATATTTTCTAGATCCATCCATTTGCCCACAATTTTCAAGATGTCATTATTTTTTCCACTGTGTAGTACTCCGCTGTGTAAATGTACCATATCTTCTTTATCCATTCTTGGTCAAGGGGCATTTAAGCTGTT